GCCTTCCCTTCTTCCCTCTCTTCCTTCCTCATTCCCTTTCTTCCTTTCTTTCCTCCCTTCCTTCCTCTTTTTATCCTCCACCTTTCCACAAGTATTCTACAAGGAATTCTCCAAAAGGGGAACTCCCTCCACCATTGCACAAGAAGCCAGTCTCTGCAGTTGATGGTCTGGGAGAGTTGCCTATAATATTGACAAGGTAAATGACTTGTCCAATGTCACCTAGCCAGCATGTGTCAGGGGCAGGATTCACACTCAGGCCCATTTGACTTGGGAGGCAGCTCTCTTTCCCCTAGGCCAGTATTATTGAGGCAGCTAGGTGGTGTAGTGACAGAGCAAGGGACCTGGAGTCAGGAAGACCTGAGTTCCAATCCAGCCTTAGACACTTACTAGCTGTGTTACCCTGGGCAAGTCAGTTCACCTCTGCCTGCCTCGGGTTTTTTTTTTTTTCATCTGTTAAAAGGGGACAATAATAACTCCTATCTCCCAGGATTGTTTTGAAGATCAAAGAAGATAATAATCAGTAAGCACTTAGCACAGTGCCTGGCATATAATAAATGCCATAAAAGTGTTAGCTATCGTGATCATTATTTTTATTGAGAGAAACAAACCCCTACAGGGATTTTCTCTTCTTCGTGTCCAGGAAGAAGGCAAAGGTTAGGGAACATGAGAGTGGGAGGACCTTCAGAGGACAGGGCACCTAACTCCTACTGAAACAAGAAAACCAGGCTCAATGAAGTGTTCCTGAAAGGCGCCCTCCACCTCCCTCCAAGGGCGATCCTTTCCACTGTTAGGGCATTCTATTAATTGTGAGTGCCGTGTGTGTGAGTGTGTGTGTGAGTGCATGCATATATGTGACTACGTGTGTGAGCGTGTGTGTGTGCATGTGAGGACGTGCGCGTGCATGCGTACGTGTGAGAGTGTGTGGGAGAGAGTATGCATGCACACGTGTGTGTGTGTGTGTTTACACGAGACCTCTCTTCACGTCTCATACACTGCTTCTAGCCCTGTAACTGGGGTCCAGCTAAACAATACTCTTCTTCCATCTGATAGCCTTTGGAGGTGACTGAAGTCAGCTGCCATGTTCCTCTTAAGGCTTTTCTTCTCCATGGGAAGCACGTCCAGTTCCTCATTGGACCCACATCTCCTGTGTCCTGGAGCTCCTTCACCGGACCACTTACCAGCATCCTACCGAAAAAGCAGTGTCCAGAAGTGTATGCAATATGACCACATCCAGTACAGCTGAACAACCACCCCCTCTCTGGCTTGACTTTTCTGTCCTTTCTTAACGGAACGTAAGACCTCATTACTCAATATCACTGGGACTCTGTTGCCATACAATTTACCTTGTAGTCCACTCACGGTGCCAGATCTTTTTCAGATCAACTTCTGTCTGGACACACTTCTACCATCTTGTATTTGTGAATTATTTTTTATTCAATTCTCAGATGTTAACGATTCTTCTAAAAGTCTTCACAATACTTTACAATATATCTCAATCAAATTTCATCTGAAGTTTCAGACTTGGTCCAGATACGTAGCCTGCAGGGTTCTAGCAGCGACACAATCTTGAAAACAGCAAGAGATTATTTTACAAACTATCTCATGGAGGAGAAAAATAGATGACGTTATTATCCCCCAAAGGGTAATTTGTATACCCGGTCCATATGCTTGTTTTCTCGTTTTCAGACAATCTTTATCAGAATGAACCAGACAAGATAGAAGGCACTCTTGGTGAAGATATGAACAGAGAATAATCAAGCTTTCCAAATTATTGTGTAACAGAAGCCACGCCTTTACTTTTGCATAGGAGTACAATGAAAAAATGGTCCTCTTGTCTTTGGGGTTTGTTGATTATAAAAACAAACAAATATGGCACTTGGCCAAGAAAGACTCAGTCTGGGAGAACCTCCTCTCATAACAAAACTCTCACACCCGTGTTCCCATAAGGGATGAGATGAGACTATGGATCCAAGTGAGGCGTGAACCAGGTCAATGTCACAGCCTGGTCAGAAGTCTCAGTGGCCCCCTCTCACCCTCCCTCTAAAGTGCCCATCAGCCCTTTGGGCCTTTCCCGCCCTCTGCAACTGAGCTGCAGCATGATTCTAGGATCATTCTGAGTTACTGGACACTGCAGCCAAAACGCCTGACTTGCTCTTCTACATACAGTAGGCACTTAATGAGTGTTTACTGACCCCATAATGTAACCTTGGGCAGGTGACTCCTCCTCTCTGGGCCTCAGTTTCTTTTCTTTAAAATGGAGAAGCTGAAAGGACCTAGTCTAGGGGTTCTGAACCTTTGCTGTTGTTTC